ACTAAATGAGATAAGCCAGGTACCAACAGACAAACACCATATGAGCTTACTTACATATTTAATCTAAAACTGTTGAACAAAAAGAAGCAGAGAGTAGCACAACTGGAGGTGCCTTCATGTAACAGGAGTAGGGGGAGGCCATGGGGGAATGGATAGTCAAAGAGGAGGAAATTTTTTCTTTGAGATATATTGCACAGCATGGGGAATATAGTGACTGATAATGTATACTTTATACTTGCTAAGAGTAAATTTCAAAAGTTTTCACTACAAAAAAAAGTATTTGAGGTGATGGATATGTTAACTAGATTGATTTTATTATTCCACATCTTATTCATAAATCATAACATCACTTTGTACCCCATAAATATATACATATAATTTGTCAATTTATCATTAAAAAATAAAAAACAAAGATTTAAGTTTTGTTTTACTGTTTACATTGGACTTCAGTTTGCTTTTGTAGGAACCCAGAGTGCTGGAACTATCTCAGCCTAATAGCCTTCCAATGAAAGATTGCTTACACTTCTTTTTTTTTTAAGGCAAGAATCTTGCTCTGTTGCCCAGCTCACTGGGCTGCAGTGAGCTCACATTCTCAGCTCACTGCAGCCTCCGCCTCCTGGGTTCAAGCAATTCTCCTGCCTTAGCCTCTTAAACAGCTGGGACTATAGGTGCCCGCCATCATGCCTGGCTAATTATTTTATATTTTTAGTTGAGATGGGGTTTCACCTTATTGGTCAGGCTGATCTCGAACTCCTGACCTCAGGTGATCCACCCACCTTGGCCTTCCAAAGTTCTGGGATTACAGGCATGAGCCGCCACACCTGGCCAAGATTGCTTACACTTTTAAAGAAATGGTATATATATATATATATATATGTTTTTTTTTTTTTAGTAAAACAACGGGTAAAATTTAATATTTAAAAAGGCACAAACACATTTTGTACATGTTGTGAAAATACCATCTATTTCCTTTAAAAGCTTATAAATTGATATGAGTATCATAAACCTGTTTGTTTTTCTCCTGAACTGTTGTTGTTCAACATTTAATGTATATTATTTGCAGGGAGGTAATGTGTGACCAAATTTTCTGGTTGGGAAAGGAGATGAGTATGGTTTTCGTATACTAAGTTTTCATGCTTGTGTAGCACAACTGGAGGTGACGTCATGTAACAGACATATGAAGAGGTTGAGAGAATAGGCTGGAGATTGGAAGCTATCCAAGTGAAAATGGTAATTGAAGCCTAGGATTGATGAGTTTGTGTATCTGATAAAGAATAGTTTAAGAATTATAATTGGAAACACAATGAAATGTTTTTCTCTTTGACCTTAGTGACATGGGATGCTTGATCACTAGTGTCTGTTGCACCAGAGTAGCATGAAAATTGAAATCTTTGGTTTCAGTTAGGAAGTGGTCATTGGAGACTTGATACTATACTGACTGGGTGGTATGGTAGAGTAAAGTTGAATTGGAAAGGGATTAAGATGAGTTGATAAGGAAGTGAAGCACTATGTGGTTAAAAAATTTCTGTGAATAATAAGAAAGCTGGAAGAAAACAAGAAATTGTAGGATTAGAGGTGAGTTTTCCAGTTATAGTGTGTGTACATGTGTAGGTGAATCATTTATAAAGAGGAGGCTCAGTACAATTAAGTAAAACAACCAAGAAAATGAAATTGAAATATAATATTTTAGAACGGTAAAATGAACCATAAGAATGAAAGCCCCTGAAATTCAATAAGGCTAATATTCATATAAATTTGACATACAGAAGAAGAATTTTAGTACTGTAGTTGTCTTTGGAATAGTTAAAATTCTTCGACATAGTAGTTACAGGATTACAAAATCTTTGATTCTCTAATATATGCCAACAGTGAATTCAAGGTTTTATTTTATTTTTTTTGAGACAGGGTCTTGCCCTGTTGCCCAGCCTGGAGTGCAGTGGTGTGATCATGGCTCACTGTAGCCTCGAACTCCTGGATTCAGGCAATACTTCTGCCTCAGCCTCCTGAGAAGCTGGGCCTACAGGTGCATGCCACCACACCTGGCTAATTTTTAAATTTTTTATAGAGACAGGGTCCTGCTACATTTCCCTGGCTGGTCTCTAGCTCCTAGCATGAAGTGATCCACCCTTCATGGCATCCCAAAGTACTGTGATTACAGGTGTGAGCCACTACACTGGCCAAATTCACAGTTTTAGAAATCCATAAAAATAGATTGCTAAGAGAAAAACAAAAACAAAAAAATAGATTGCTAAAAACTGAATAAATTAATACAGAATGTAGTCAGTATTTTTGCTGAGAAAAGATAGGCATAATATGAACATTTGATAGTAATTTTTAATGTGATGTGATTAAAGGGAATTTTAAAGCACGTTTGTCATCTGATTGGAAAGAAAGAACCAGGGATGGTAAATGACAAATACTATGTTTACACTGATATTCACAATGACCCATGATGTAAGGATATGCACTTAGTCATTGAGAGAGTATTCTCCGAAGTTGTAATTTAAAAACGAAATGTATCTGTGGAACAGAGAAATCTAATATAATGAAATGTATTAGATTTCTGGAAAATGTTTGAAAAATATCTAATAGACCAAATACGGTTCTGGTGTGATTGTAATCATTAGGAATCTTGAAGAGAAACTGAACCCATGTTACTCTGAATATGTGATATAAAGTAATTTTAAATAATATTTATTGACCTTATCAGTCATTATGTAATATCAGTCATTATGTAATGTTTTACCTATATTAAAAGTAAATAGGCACTTTAAAGATGTATAATAATATACATTTCAGGTACTTGATTAGAAAATTAAAAATTTTCCCATTTAAGATGAATGTATAGCAATAGATAATGGTCAGACTTTTAAAATCAGTCACAGTGAAACGAGTCATGTTCATGCTTTTAAATATTCTGAGTTGACATCATCATAATCTTTGTTTCCCTAAATGATAACTTTATGTATGTAGATAGTGGCATCTAGATGCTTACAGTTCTTGGTAAATTGAAGAGTGAATGTATTGGTGGGGAGTGGGGAAAAGTATTATAATAGTGGTCTGGAGTAGTAGTACAAAGACCAAGTTTTAAAAATTTAATCTGAGATTTAAAAGAAAATTTTAGTTTCTTTTCTAAATGTAGGGTTCACACTTACCTTTTCTTGAATTCCTAAAATTGAATACCTACCTAATATTTCTACTGTGAGGAATGAGAATCTGAGTTTTGTGTTGTATGTAATTAGAGCAAAAGAGGAAATGTTTTGAAAGTGAGATCTGAGGGCTGTAAAGAGACTTGAACTTTGCTAAGAAAGTGAAAACATACTCTAATTTGGTACCACATTTGTTTCTTTCTAGCTTGGAGGCTCCAAACCCCAGCTTCTGATACTAGAATTTAACTTTTCCATTTCTGTCAGGTTTCTCCCCATCCTAATGAAAATGAATATCCCTTCCCTCGGCTGTTTGGAACACAGCCCTGTAAATGATGATGGTATACCACGTGTATATTCACAAATCTTCTAGTTTAACTTCTAATGGTAAGCCTAGAAAGATGTATAAATGGTGATCCCAAAGTAATCCCTCCCTCTTAGTATTTTGCAAGCTAGTTATTAAATGATAATCACTTTGGGGAATCACACACTCCACTGGACTTTGTAAAATGAAAAACTAGATCTCTGCATTGACTGACATGATTCTGAGCATGTCGTCTTGGATAGGCTTGTTATATTTGTGGGAATATATACACAGCTGTCAAAATTAACTCTAACATCTTTATGTAACCAGTTACATACTATTTCATTATACAAATGAAATTAATCATTAATCTTGTTTAATCTTGTTTACCTTCTGAAAAAACAAGCAGGGTAGTGAGAGTAGTTAATTTCAGATGGGTTTTTTAAAAACATGTTATAGAATAATCCTGTGCTCCAAAGTCAGAGCAACATGGATTTCAGCCATTTGTTAGATGGGTAACTGAGTGCAAGTTACTATGGAAACAAGCTAGAGGAATTATGCAGAAAATGAGGACATATGCCTCCATATGTAAAGTGCCTAGCACATCCTTATGAAATATTCATTAACAAATTGAGCCCCCTTTCTGTTTTACAGGACAAGTAAAATGTCTTCTGGAAAACTAATATTTAAAATGGTGGAAGATATTTAAAGTAGTTATGTGACTGAGTAAATTACTAAGTAAGATGTTATTAAATAGGAAAACATGAAAAGGACATGTAGGACAGCTTTACGTGAAAAAACTTCTGTACTAATTATTAATCATTCCTGGGTTTAAGGAGCTTTTAGTGTCATATTAAATTTAGTTTAATACTGAAGTTTTTATGGTGAAAGATTCTAAAGAGATTATATGTTCTATTGAGAAAGAAATAACCTATAATCAGGAATTACCTGAGTAGTTTGAATCAAAGTTTAATTCTATGTGAGTTAATAACTTGTTTCCTAGTTGAGTAGCAACATACACCCAATTGATATTCTTCTTTGGATGATAAGAGAAAGAAAAAGAAAGTTATGTGTAAATAATCAGGTAATATCACTTCTTACTAAAAAAAAAAATACAATCTATGCATGTAACAAAATGGCACTTGTATCCTATAAATTTATACAAATAAAAAATTATGATTCTAGGAGGTACTTGCTCTTGGCTTCTGCCAGAGGTTACACTTCCCAGCCTGTGGGATGGCCAGACTGCAGGCTATAAAATAAATTGAATGAATATATATACATATATATACACACTATATATATACATATATATACACACATATATATACATATACACACATATATATACATATATATATACATACACACATATATATAAAATATACATACATACACATATCTTCAGAGAGAGAGACAGACAAAGAATTCCAAAAGCTGTTTTAAAAACTAAACTTTCATTATGTATGCCATTAGTTTGTAGTATCAGAAAGCCCATTTTTTTCAGTTTTGGTATAAGATTAATACAAAGTGAATGACAGACTACATCATTAGTGATCATAATTTGTATAATGTAATTTGTGCTTTAGTGAGTTATTTTCCATGCAGTAAAATGCCTTTATTTAAAAAAGAAGAGGTACAGTACATTATAATTCCAAGGAAACTTTTATATTAAAAAAATGCCAATTTTTGGCTCAAAACTGAAAAGGTTTCATTTAATACCGAAATAAGGAAATTCACAATTAAGGCTGAAATACTATTCATATTACTGTGTATTTCTAATCAAGTTATTTTAAGCTTGTATATTTTAAACCATGGCTATGGAATTGTATGGGAATATATTGAAGGCATAACCTTATATTTAATGAACTTTTGGTTTAATTCTTTAGAACTTCAAAATAGTATTGGGATATGAAACAACAGGATTATTGTTATTCTGATAAAAACCAGACTAAACTGAGTCTTTCACTGCATTTTTCTGAAGAACTCACTTCTAATGAGTAACTGTTCACTAGTATAAAATTAGGAAATCTTTATGTTATTAAAATTTGAATTTTTCTTTCACTGTATCCCAATCTTTTGAATATATGTGTTTCAGGACATTTCCAATTAAACTATAAGTTTAGATAATATCCTGACTAGATTAAAAATACAATCTTTAAACGTATTTCCAAATCATATTGCCATTTTGCACTGAAGTTAATTCTCTGAAGACTAAAAGCTCTGCTTGTTTAGAAAAGTCAATGATTAGTTCTTTATATGCAATTGAGATTCTGTTTCCCTTCTATACGTTCCTTTACTAATTTTTCCAAAGCGAAAAGATGCTCATCTGCTTCTTCTGGCACAAGGTTCCTTATAGAATTTGCAAGTTCAAAAAGATATTCTGTATTTCTTCCACTTGGACCAGCTGCATTAAAAATTTGTTCAGCAATGTCTTCCAGAGGTGCAGGACCAAGATAGTTAGGATTATCACATGTTCCAATATATAGCAATACACTGAATGGTTTTGTTGTGGTATCTTTTGGATAAAAAATGACTGTTGTGGTTCTGTAGCCTCCTTTCTCTCTGAAGTCAAGGTATGCTTTTACTTCTTCTTCCTTTCCTGCTGGCAATCTGTAAGCAACACCCCATACACATCCCTGTTGAAAAATGAAAAGAATATGCTAGTATTTATAAGGCTAATTAAAATAGGTGATGATAGAGAGTTGTGATCTAAGAGAGTATCTCATATATTCTTTTTTTTTTTTTTTAATTGAAATGGAGTCTTGCTCTATTGCCCAGGCTGGAGTGCAGTGGCGTAATCTTGGCTCACTGCAATCTGTGCCTCCTGGGTTCAAGCGATTCCCCCCTCAGCTTCCCGAATAGCTGGGATTACAGGCATGTGCCACCATGCCTGGCTAATTTTTGTATTTTTAGTAGAGATGGGATTTCACCATGTCGTCCAGGCTGGTCTTGAACTCCTGACCTCAGGTGACTCCCAAAGTGCTGAAATACAGGTGTGAGCCAACAGGCCTGGCCGAGAGTACCTCATATATTCTTTTCTGTTTGTTTTTGAGACGAAGTCTTGTCTGTTGCCCAGGCTATGGTGCAGTGGCACGATCTTGGCCCACCACAACCTTAGCCTCCCAGGTTCAAGAGATTCCCCTGCCTCAGCCTCCGAGTAACTGGGATTGGGATTACAGGAATGCACCACCATGTCCAGCTAAGTTTTGTATTTTTAGTAAAGAAGGGGTTTTGTCCTGTTGGTTAGGCTGGTCTTGAACTCCTGATCTCAAGTGATCCGCCCACCTTGGCCTCCCAGGGTGCTGGGATTATAGGTGTGAGTCACCATGCCTGGCTATATCTTGTATATTCTTTTTTTGCGGGGGTCTCTAGTACTTGCTATGTATCTCGTATATTCTTAAAAGTCAGCCGGGTGTAGTGGCTCACGCCTGTAATCCCAGCAGTTTGGGAGGCCAAAGCGGGTGGATCATGAGGTCAGGAGTTCAAGCCTGGCCAAGATGATGAAACCCTGTCTCTACTAAAAATAAAAATTTTAGCCATGTGTCGCAGCAGGCACCTGTAATCCTAGCTACTCGGGAGCCTTGGGCAGGAGAACTGCTTGAACCCCTGACGGCAGAGGTTGCAGTGAACAGAGATCGTGCCACTACATTCCAGCCTGGGTGATAGAGTGAGACTCCATCTCAAAAAAAAAAAAAGTCAATACAGTTTTTCTTCACTTAAAAGTGCACAGAGCAACATACTAAACAATAAAGGAAATAGGCCGAGGCGGGCAGATCACAAGATCAAGAGATCGAGACCATCCTGGCTAACATGGTGAAACCCCGTCTCTACTAAAAATACAAAAAATTAGCCCGGCTGGTGGTGCCTGCCTGTAGTCCCAGCTACTTGGCAGGCTGAGGCAGGAGAATTGCTCGAAACCGGAAAGCGGAAGTTGCAGTGAGCTGGGATCGCGCCACTGCACTCCAGCCTGGCAATAGAGTAAGACTGTCTCAAAAAAGGAAAAAAAAAGAAATAAAGGAAATAAGCATTTTAAAATCTCTATTGTGAATAATTTCTTTGTATCATAGGTACAGCAAGATATTTTATCTTTTTTTTTTTTAATTTGGTCTTTTTCTTTAATAATGGGACTGAAAGGAAAACTAGCAGGTTTTCACTTGATCATTAAAAAATTATATAGAAACAAAGTGCCATTTGTTTATTAACTGTTTAGGAGTTATGAGTTACCAATTTGAAGCTCTTTTTTATAGATTTTTTTCATAGTCAATTATGAAAGCATTTCCTAATCTACACCATTATTTATCTACCATTACTAACTGCTTGATTTTTGCTTATTAAAGTCCTTTCCAAGGTTAACATTTCACAATATAAAATTCTGAATTTGTACCCCAATAAAATTATTGAAAATATTTAAGAAGCTGAGGATTGTTGGTGACATAAAACTTTCTGGTGCTCCAAACTAGTTTTAAAAACACAGGTGCTACTGGGGCCTACTAGAGGGTGGAGGGTGGGAGGAGGGAGAGGATCTGTAAAAACAACTAATGAATACTAGGCTTAATATTTATACCTGGGTGATGAAATGATCTGTATAACAAACCCCCATGACATGTTTACCTATGTAATAAACTTGCACATCCTGCACATGTACTCCTGAACTTAAAAGTGAAAAACAAAAAACACAAAACACGACTCACAGGTGCTATTGATACTATTAAGCAAGCAAGAAAAAAGGATTAGATTTCTGCTAATCTAAAAAAAGTTAGATTTCTGCTGAATGTGAGACTGGCAGAAAAAGTGAAGAGAGCTTTTAAGGGTTCCATTTAATTCTTGGGGGTAGTCTGGCTGTCTGAGGGGTATTTCCATTAATGTTTAAAGGGGACCACAAAATTCTTAAACTTGTTTTTAAAACAACCTATAAGGCCGGTGTGGTGGCTCACGCCTGTAATCCCAACACTTTGGGAAGCCGAGGCAGGTGGATCGTGAGGTCAAGAGGTCGAGACCATCCTGGCCAACATGGTGAAACCCTGTCCCTACTAAAAATACAAAAATTAGCCGGGCGTTTGGCATGCACCTGTAGTCCCAGCTACTCGGGAGGCTGAGACGGAAGAATCGCTTGATCCAGGAGGTGGAGGTTGCAGTGAGCCAAGACTGTGCCACTGTGCTTCAGCCTGGCGACAGAGCAAGACTCTGTCTCAAAAAAAAAAAAAAAACGCCCCACAAAAACGATACTACATGCCATTTATTTGTACTTCGTTGTCCACCTTGCATCCTACAGTCTGACTTTTCTTATTGGCCTCATTTTCCACAAACACACATACAAAAACCCCACAAATACAGAAAAGAATTCTAAATTGTCTTAGTTCAAATTGGGTAGGGTAGTTCAAATTGTCTGTGACAATTGTTAATAAAATTAAAACTGAGAAATATCTCAACATTTTATAAAATTAAAATTTTACAAAAAATAATATTTATACCATACCGCAGGATCTTCAACAAGAGTCACAACTCTTCCAGGCTGTTTTAAAAAAGGTAAAAAAAAAAAAAATTTTCTGAATTAATAAAGTTCATTAAGTAGCTGGCCATTAGCAACATTTTTGACATGGAATATATTTGCCCATAAGAAGCACTATTTCTTAAGCATACTTATTTTTTATGATAAAGCTAAGAGAATCTACCTTATCAGACTGTGTTGGCCTTTTAAATATTTCCATCAATTTATACATATTATGTATATTATGTTCACTTACATGAATGTATTGGAAAACATACCAGTGACTAAGGGTCATCTAAAATGAAAGGCAAATGGAAACAGTAATGATAAATATTCTGGTTTCCCCTTAGGAAAAAATAATGTTATATATACCGCTGCCTCCTGGGTTCAAGCGATTCTTCTGCCTCAGCCTCCTGAGTAGCTGGGATTACAGGCATGCACCACCACGCCTGGCTCATTTTTTGTATTTTTAGTAGAGATGGGGTTTCACCATATTGGTCAGGTTGGTCTCGAACTCCTGACCTTGAGATTTGCCCGCCTTGGCCTCCCAAAGTGCTGGGATTACAGGTATGAGCCACCTTGCCCAGCCATAATGTTACATTTTTATTTTAGTTTTTGTTTTTTAATTTTTGAGTTGTAGTTTCACTCTTGTTGCCTAGGCTGGAGTGCAATGATGAGATCTCTGCTCACTGCAACCTCCAACTCCCCAGTTCAAGTGATTCTCTTATCTCAGCCTTAAAAGTAGCTGGGATTAGAGATGCCTGTCATCACACCCAGCTAATTTTTATATTTTTAGTAGAGACTGGGGTTTCACCATGTTGGCCAGGCTGATATCGAACTCCTGACCTTAGGTGATCCACCTTCCTTGGCCTCCCAAAGTGTTGGGATTACAGGCGTGAGCCACCACTCCTGGCCTTTAGTTTTATTAGGAAAAAAAAAATGACATCACGCGTGCTTTCCTATGGGGAAGTGGCTTTCAAACTTTTAGTGTAGATCAAAATGACCTAGAGGGCTTGACAAACACTCTGTTAGGCCATACATACCTTCAGAGTTTCTGATTCTGTAGGTCTGGAGCTGTCTTAAGAATTTATGTTTATAACAGCTTTCTTGCCGATTCCAGAAATTGTTTGGGGGCTCATACTTTAAGAACCACTGCTACCAGGGTATATCAAGAGGTTTTAAGTGAGAGAGAATGAATGATTTATAATTCTGAGTTATGAAGTGTTCTTACCTTTCTGTATATGGTAATGGGTACTTCAAGGCAGGCATTCCTTTTAGATTCATATATGAACTTTATATTAGAACTGGCCTATTTGTGTAGTTCTTATATGGGACAGTCAGACCATCTGTGGTCTAGGCAATTTTTTTTTTTTGGTTTTAACACAGCTCAGTTAATAGTTCTGTGGAAAGCTTCACTTTTTACTATTCAACTTGAGGCTGAAATGAGATATTATCAAGCCAAAACAAATTTTGTTTGTTCTTTCATTTCAAAGACTAATAAAACAGTCTTTGTTTATAAATGGAAAGCCTTAGAGAAAGTCCAGACTTGGAATGGTCCATAATTTAAGACACAAAGGTGACTTATATCAGTGCCTGCAAGCTTTTTTTAAAAATAAAATTCATCCACATAGTACCAAAGGCTGTATATGTACTGATACCTGAACATCATTCATGGGAATGCTAAGTCATAAGCTACAATTTTACCTACTTGTATGTCCAGTGTCTGGCACATAGTGAGTGACCCTGAATCTTTCAGGCATTTGCATCATCTTTGTTGATACTTCCTTCTAGTCTTGATCTGTTCATATAGATAATTCATAATCGTGGAACACATGGGATTTTGGATTATCATTTCTCATTTAATTTTCCTGTTAGTCTTCTCATACATTTTAATAGGGATAATATTGTATCATTGATGAACTATAAACATTTGCATGTCTTGGACATTTAGATTTCCGACTTGTTTTTAAGATAATGCTATAATAAGGGTACATATATTGGTGAGGGTCAAGTAGATATTGCCATAGTACTTTCAATTTCAAAGTGAATTAGAAGTTATTTACTGAATACCTACTCTGTGCTGTGGAGAAGAAGAAATCTTGATTCTTGCTTCCAGTAGCTTATATTGTCACTCTAGAATGCAAACTAACATGTGAAACAGAGCTTACGGTCTAAGATGTATGGTATTTATTAAGTGCAGTAAGAATTTTGAGTCTTAGGTGATCAGAAAGAAAACTAATCTGGTGAAAGGACATGACTCACAATTCACGAATCCTTAGAGGCAGGACTACACCAGGCCAAGAGTCTGACTGTAGCAGAGGGTCCCCACATAGAGGAGATGATTCAGAAAGATGACTGAAGAAACAAGGTGAAGTCAGATTAGAAAAGCCAGAGAACAGATTTGAAATTAGGGGGCAGTGGAAATAAGCCACTGAAATTTGAGAGAAGTTGGCAGTTTAAGGAGCTCCTACAGAACTTGGATAGTAGGTGACTGGCATGATCAAAGAAATGCTTTGGAACAATTAGGGTGATAAAGTATGTAGTACTCAAAGTGGAAGGAGGAAGTGCACAGTAAGAAATGTTAGTGATACAGGTGACAAGTTTGGCACTCCATCTCTCCTTGTTTCCCCTTGCGTCCAGCTCCATAACCAATTCTTGGTAACTGTCTTTAGAGTGTCATCTGAATCTAGTTCTATCTTTAAGTAGCTTCCTTAAGGATTTTCCTGCCTGACTTTAGTTTTGCTTCCTTCCAGTCTGTTCTGTACTTGGGCCCAGGATGACTTTCTGGTACAAAAATTGGGCGAGTCACTCTCTTGCTTCAAAATTTTTCATAGTTGTGATATTCTACAGCATAAAATAAAAATCCTTGGCCGGGCATGGGTGGTTCCTGCCTGTCATCTCAGCACTTTAGAAGGCTGAGGCAGGTAGATTGCTTGAGCCTACATGTTTGAGACCAGCCTGGGCAACACGGTGAAACCCTGTCTCTACCAAAAATACAAAAAATTAGCCAGGCATGGTGCCCGTGCACCTGTGGTGTCAGCTACTTAGGGAGGCTGAAGCGGGGAGGATCACTTTAGCCTGGGAGGTTGAGTTTGTAGTGAGTCGTGATTATGCCACTGTATTCCAGTCTGGGTGACAGAGTGAGACCCTGTCTCTTAAAAAATTCTTTAGCATGACTTAACTACAAACCTGATTTCTTTGCATTTTTGCCCTGAAGTTTTACTGAATTAATTTGTAACTCTTAAAAACACTCATATCTTCGAATATACTGGTGCTTAGTGCAGAATGCCCTTCTCCCTTTTGCCTATATCATCTGCCCACTTCCTCCATAAAGTCCTGGCATTATCTCTCCAGATGGACTTAGCAGCTCCTTCTCCTAAACTCTTACTGCCCCTTCATTTGTTTTCCTTATAGCACTTATCAAGTACTTTTGTTTGCACAACTGTCTCCCACTTATGTAAGTGCTTAGTAGTAATTATGATGAAAAGGAGTAGTGAAGTTTTAGATTGAAGTGGTGGCTGGTGGAACACAAAACACAAGGAGTATGCAGGGAGTGATTTTAAGGGAAAATAAATGGAATTCTGTCTGCTTTGGATGATACAGACATGAACTACTAGCACTATAATAAATAAAATTACTTGGAGGCTGGGTGTGGTGGCTCACGCCTATAATCCCAGCACTTTGGGAGGCTGACGTAGGTGGATTGCTTGAGACCAGGAGTTCAAGACCAGCCTGACCAACATGGCAAAACACCATCTCTACTAAAAATACAAAAATTAGCCAGGCATGGTGCGTTATACCTGTAATCCCAGCTTCTCAGGAGGCTGAAGCAGGAGTATCACTTGAACCCAGGAGGCAGAGGTTGCAGTGAGTGCAGAACCTGTCACTGCACTCCAACCTGAGTGACAGGAGACGCCAACCCCCCTCAAAAAAAGAAAGAAAGAAAGAGAAAGAGAGAGAGGAAAGAGAGAAAGAAAGAAAGAAAAATATAAATTACTTGGAAATATTTTCTAACACTTAAACTCTATTCTCAGTATGTTACTGAGAAACATCTACCTGAATGGGCTTGTAGGATGTAAAATATGAGAAACTGCCAGTTTTGTGAGATATAAGGCTGGCAATCCATTTTAATTAAAAATGTGAGGTAAAATTATGATGTTCTTTCCAGTTTTTTTTTTTTTTTTTAACAGAACAGTAAATGTAATTAGATTTCAGTTTAATTTGCTAGGATAAATTCTTTAAATAAAAATAGGTGTAAAACTGTTAGCCAGTGCAGCTTTGCCCCCTATTTTCCTTTCCTATATTTTAGTAAATTTTATTATAAAGAGATACTGGCTTTTATAGCTCCTTTTTTTTTTTTTTTAAATAGTTTTTATTTGAGATGGAGTTTCGCTCTTGTTGTCCAGGATAGAGTGCAATGGTGCCATCTCGGCTCACTGCAGTCTCCACCTCCCAGGTTCAAGCAATTCTTCTGCCTCAGCCTCCTGAGTAGCTGGGATTATAGGCATGTGCCACCACACCCAGCTAATTTTGTATTTTTAGTAGAAATGGGGTTTCTCCATGTTGGTCAGGCTGGTCTTGAACTCCCGACCTCAGGTGATCTGCCCGCCTTGGCCTCCCAAAGTGGTAGGATTACAGGCGTGAGCCACTGCGCCTGGCCCAGCTCCTTTCTCCTTTTAAAGAATCATGGACTGTTATATTGACTAGACAATTTCTAATCATCAGTCTGTTCTGACAGCATACGTATTTCAGTGTGCTATGTAACACAAAGCACATTTTGGTCAAAAGACTATAGTAGTAAAATATGTTTTTATAACCACATACATACATAAATATTTAGTACTTGGTCATTATAATTGGAGCCTGGGCTAAATGTTTTCTCTTCAGACTGGCCGTTTTAAATATTCATATCAAACTGACAATTCTCAAACTCCTGGCCTTAAGCAGTCCTCCTGGCTCAAACTTCCAAAGTGTTGAGATCACAGGCGTGAGGCACCAGGCCTAGCCAAAACTGACAACTGAAAAGGCATTTTATTTACTTTAGTTTCTTAATGTCTTGAATATTGTTTTAGAAGATTCTTGGAGATACTTTGGCTATGACATTTCTGCATTTACCCTAAGCCATTTCGCCTTTTCGAGTCATTCTGTCCAACATGCCAATAGGCCAGTGTAGTCTACCTAAAAGCCAAGTTCTTAATTGACCAACTCTAGTTAAAATGGAATGGCTTCTAACTCAGGTTCTTTTCATGATTTTAATCCTGTGTCTCTTTTACGAGCATGTGTAAACTACTTTAGAGCCTTGATCTTTTCCCCTTTCCACTGACCAATTTCCAAATTATTAGTTACCTCAATCTTAGTTTTCTTTATGAATTAGTTGTTTTGCAACTGGTACAAAGCTGATTTGCATAAGCAGTGAGCTGCTGCTAATTCTCTACACATATATTGAGATTTATGTCTTTGTATGACCGACTGAAAAGTGGATCAAATAACTTACATTTCATATTATAAGAACCATCAAGAAACTAACATTAAAAGGTTAGATACAGTAATAAATTTGGTACTGCGTTACTCATGTAACCAGAACTTCATTTAACTTCGCTAGTACCTGAAAACCAAAATGAGTTCCTTAATAACCAGAGAAAAATTTGAAACTCGTTCTTCTGCGATCCTAGGTGTCAGAAAAATAAAACCTTTGAGAGATGTAAAGGAATCCTAGAAGTAACATGCACGTTTAATCGCAAACCTATGAAAGTCTGCTAGAATGCAGAAATGCCAACAAATTTAATTGCTAAAAAGCTGAACTCTGTGGTGACACGAAAAAATTCATCTTCCCTCCAGTGGGATTTTTTTTTTCTTTTGGCAGAGGTTGTGGAGAGATGGAGCCCCCTCTCCGCACTCAGCCTGGTGCCAGCTCGAGTGCCTGTGCCCGCGCTTCTCGTGGCATCAAGAACCACCGGCATCTTAAGTAGCTTCGGAAGGAGTGCCCGGGTTGGATAGAGATGGCGGGCAGGTGGCAGGGAAAATGTACAGAAATGTGTTACCCCAAGCCATGTACTTGGCCCCCAATAAACCCTAGGGTGTGGCTTCCGCGCAGCTGGGTGGTGGGTATGGAGTTGGGGAGCGGGGGTCCGGGGGCAGTAAGTGTGGGGAGCTGGCTGGCGCCTCACCTTGCCGGGGACCCCGCGGTGGTCCGTGCTGCCCTGCCAGAAACGCCTGCTGTAGTTTGTGATGTATCCGACCAGCTTGTCCTGATAGGGAAAATCCACCTTCCAGATCAGGGACCCGTAACCAAAAACCCACATCTTTCCGCGGCGCCTCTGCCACGGCGTGAACCCTAGCTGCCGCCGCGCCGCGGGGGACTGTAGCCTCCGGTACACGAGTAACTGGCTGCGCGGGGCGCAGGCGCGGTGGCCACTTGGGGCGCAAAGCGCACTGGGAGTTTAAATCCAGAAAGGTTTTCCGGCTGGGTCTCAGTCAGCTTTATTTTATTTCCTTGATTAGAGGGTAAGAGGCATTGACCTTCGGTGTAGTAAGCAATGGATTCTTTGGCAGCCTCCGTAAATCACTCTAAGCTATCTTTAGTACGCGTGTGTAGAGAACTACAATACCCACAATTCTTGCGGAGCTATTTGGCTCTGAAATTGGACCTCCGCTTATTTCTAACGGGGCCAAGGAAGGAGAAAAGGACAAGAGTCGTCACTTGTGCTGTCCAGATATGGAGGCGGTGTACCAGCACCGCACGTAGCACCTAGAAACACATTTTGTTCTGCTTTGGAAATTAGATTTTTGCCATATAACAGCAGCCAGAGGAATGCAACCCATGTTTAATTTTATGTCCTGGAAAAAAAATGTATTTTGCCTTTCAAAGAAAAGCAGAAAGTTTACAATAAATGTTTACATCTGTGAAAGAGTAGCTGCCTTCTCAATGGGAATTGTTTATATATTTAAATTGTACACAGTCTTATTCATCTTTAGCATACTCAGTGGCTTTTTCACAAAAGAGCAGGCAAATGTTCTTAACTTGGGGTTCCAGCAAAGGCTTTGGAAACGAGTTGGGGAACCTGCTGAAACTGTGTACAAAATTTGGGGTGTACACTTTTCTGGGGGGAACTACACCTTTCATGAGGTTTTTAAGGGGTTAAGGATCCTAAAATTTTTTGAAGATCTGCTGGTTAGAGCTATTGCTGCAAACTATTCTTTAGGAAACTCACTTGGACTATCATGGCTGTGTGTGTGTGTGTGTGAAAACAGAAGCCACAAATGATTGTTCTTTCTTGGAGATTTCTATACCATGGTCTTGAATGCTGAAACACTCAGATTCAAGGGGTATTACTTGTTTTCTTATAATCAGCAGGAAGCTGCCACAAAAAAAAAAAAAAAAACAGGTCTTTTCCTATTTTCTCTAAGTTGTAGTTCCATTTTGCCTGACATGGTTGCTAACCCGCCTTTTTTTTGAAAAATTTTGAATATGCAGAAAAGTTAGATTAAAAGAGTATAGTGACCAGTACCTTTCATCTAGATCCAGTAATTTGCATTTTGCACAGTTGCTTTACTTCCTTTTTTTCTCTATACTTTTAAATGAAAAATATTTGAAGCACGTTGCATGTGTTAGGATATTTTACTGCCACATACTCTATATGTGTCTTATAAGAATAAGGACATTCATCCTAGAACAAGTTCCCTAAAAAAAAAAAAAAAAAGAATAAAGATATAATAACTGTGATACTATTATCACATCTAAGAAAAAAACAATGATTTGTCATCAAATATGTATTCCATATCTAAACTGCTTCATAGTCACTAGCAAGAAATTATGTCTTTGAGAGAGTCACATGAGAGCTAAACTGGTCTCTGACTGCAGGGGAACTTGAAGTGAGTATTGGAGAGAGATGATGATGAGGCCAAGAATTCTGTAAATAAATTGTGGGATATGTAGGAAAGCAGGACTCATCCCTTTATGGTATTCTCTGTTTAAATATGCTCAGTCAGTGAGACTATTTGGTCAAGCATGGAGAGCCTGCTTGACAAAATAGTCTCACTATTGATCTTTCTTCTGGAAAGGACCAGCAAGTATAGGAAGACTAGAATGACACCTATCTTGTACTGCTTTTCTGGCCTTTTTGGGTTCAGTTGTTTCCTATAGAGGGCTATATATTGAAAGTGAGCATTGCCAGTAGTTGAATGGCCATCTCTGCATAATGTAGTATACACTGGGGATTAACTAGAGGTGCTTTCATTAATGGAGCACCAAAGAGTACATTGTAGTGGGATATGAACAGGAGCTGAAGCCTGCTGGAAATTGCTGCTCAAACATTTCCAGAGACGGAAAGATAGAACACTTAGAAGTCCCTTAATGTTTTTAGTAGGAACAGTTCAAGGAATTCTAATCTGCCAAACAGAGGAACTTCCTTGTTTAGGCACCAACAGAGACTGTGGCATGGCAGTTACTTTCTGTATTGTGGGCCATTCTTCAGTAGTCATGTGAGAGATGCTAGACAGGCCAACCATGATCTGCTTGTCTCTAGGAGTGAAGTGTTATTTCATTGACTATAGTATTATTCTTCTACCTTGTTTTGTAGACTGGTCAAAGAAATGGATTTTACAGAAGCTTACGCGGACACGTGTTCTACAGTTGGTCTTGCTGCCAGGGAAGGCAATGTAAAAGTCTTAAGGAAACTGCTCAGAAAGGGCCGAAGTGTCGACGTCGCTGATAACAGGGGATGGATGCCGATTCATGAAGCAGCTTATCACAACTCTGTAGAATGTTTGCAGATGTTAATTAATGCAGGTAAAGTAAATTCAAGGTATGGAGGCTTTGCCTACCAAGCTGGATTAATAAAGCATAAAAAAAGATAATATATGACTTATTAACAGTAGTATTTGATTCCCTTTCTATAGTCATAAAATAACTGCCTGAATTTATTTATTATGGATGGTAAGATTGCCTGCCTTGGATTCAATTAGTATAATATTCTAGTTGGGCATCTTATATGGAAGTGCCTCTGTCTGGCTTCTTTTTATTGACTGAGCTAGGTGATATGGGAGTAGTAGTCTGCTGTTTGAATTTAAATATTTGATATTTCCTGGTCATGATTATTCTTTGTTCCTTTACCAGACAGAAGGAATAGTTGCACTGATATTGAGGATATGTTTTGATTGAATTAGTCTTTTTTATTTTTAAACAATTTTTAATACTTTTTGGAATTTTACAGATACTTTGCATGAGACAAGATGCCTGCCTTCCTGAGGCTTTTTCTTGTCAGGGGAAATAGGTGACAAATATCTAAACAAACAAGATACATTTTAAAAGGTGAAAGTGTAATGGGGAAAATCAAACAAAGTAGAGATAATAAATGGGATAGAGAATAATGTGTGCTATTAATAATAATGTCATTGCACATCTCTTTACATCTCTGCATTCAGTGACTTCATGCTTGGGATCAGCTATGGTAGGAATATTTACACCGCAGAAATAAGCCAGTGCTACAAACCAGTGCTATAAACTGGGCATTCTTCTCCTGGACAGCTAGTTGTTAAATGTTAACCAGCACACTACTGAGTGAAGGGCATCGACTAAAGGCAAGATTCTGATATTTAGTAGAGAGGGGGTAGGAAGAAAACAGGTGGTGATTGAGCATTGCTTTGTAGTAGTCATTGTGGCACATGCTTAATTTATCTTAGTTAATATATATAAAAGTGCTGTTAGAGGCAGCACTTTTTATTGGGGAAAAGACCAAGGCTCAGAGAAGTTGACTTGTAAAAGGTTACATAATAAACTGGGGTATTTGATTTGAACCCATTTCTCTGACTCTAAAGCCCCTTTTTTCCCCTCTCATACCATGCTTCTAACATTTAATTGAATTAAACATTTCTAGCATTCAGTTAATTTAAACTAAAGGCACAAGAATACTCTGCATTGTAACACTCAGCAAACCATTTACATTTCATTGATGGGGAAATGCAGACCGTCTTCCCTGCATGCTTATCACCAGGTATAGCTGCTTAAAATGTAGACTTCTGGATCCATAGCTCATCAGAACTGCTAATTTGTTACCTCCTGGACCGGAAAGGAAATAATCTTTACATTGTTTTTGGTACTGGTAGGTGGTTTTTTTTTTCCTTTTTTTTTTCTTTCTTTCTTTTTTTTAAATCTTAATAGATAAGAGATGGTAAGGCTAAACTCTCTAAATCATAATGAAGGAAATTTGTCATGATTGTTTTTAAAGTCATATGTTCAAGTGTCTGTTGTCTGTTACAGTCGAATGTTTGAAGGTACTGGAAAAATAGATGTTATTCCTCTAATTTCAAATGCTTAAGATATGTTTTCAGAATCTGTTTGAAGTGAGCTATAAAGCTTGAGTTCCCAAACTATTTGTAGTAACAAATAAAGTCATGAGTTTGAATATCCTTTTCTAGTCAAAAAGTTCATTTCCAATATACTGTTACATCTCTTCTTCATATAGGAATAATGTAGTTATGTTACAGATTTTTTTCCTTTATCTGCTGGGTAAAGTTAGGTATGCTTTTGACTAAAGGCATTTGAAATGGCTGTTTAAATTCATCTCTACAGTTGTCCCTTGGTATCCACAGGTAATTGGTTCCAAAATGCCCATGGACACCAAAATTCATAGATTCTCAAGTTCTGCATTCTGCCCTGAAGATAGGAAAATGTGCTATATGCAGATACAAAAAGTCAGCCCACTATTTGTGGGTTCCTCATCCCACAAATGCTTTATCTTCCATCCCCTTGGTTGAATCTGCGGATACAAAACCTGTGGCTACAGAGGCCTGACTATATTTTCTTTTTATCTGAGATGAAGTCTTGCTCTGTCACCCAGGCTGGAGAGCAGTGGTGTGATCTCAGCTCACTGCAACCTCTACCTCCCAGGTTCAAGCGATTCTCCTACCTCAGCCTCCCAAGTAGCTGGGATTACAGGTGTATACCACCAATGCCTGGCTATTTTTTTTTTTTTTTTTTTTTTTTGTATTTTTAGTAGAGACAGGGTTTCACCATTTTGGCAGGTCTCAAACTCCTGACCTCAAGTGATCCATCCACTTTGGCCTCCCAAAGTGCTAGGGTTGTAGGTGTGAGCCACTGTGTCTGGTCCCAACTGTATCTTCTTTTAGAAGTTTTAATTATCAGTTTCATCATTAATGACCATCCTTTTTTGAGCTTGATGTTTTTGGAGGATAAGTTAGCTGTACATGCGAATAGTTGATATAAATGGTCAAATTAAGCCTTTTTACTGTATTTTTTATTAGAATTCACCATCATGAAGTAAACTTTGGATACATCTAATTTTTTTTTTGTGGTATGTACACAGGGATTAGAGTAGAAGTAGGAAGCTAGGAAGTAGAGTTTGCAGAGGGTGGGAAGCAGCCATGTGAATTTTAGGAGATGGAGTGACATGTTTGGGCTTATTCTTCCATGAGTTTAATTTTTTTCTGTAGTATTTTTAGAGTTGAAACTAATGTCCAAAACTTTATTAGATTTGCTTATGTGATTCACTAACTAGAAAAGTCAGATTAGAATGGGGCAGTAGGGACACATAGGTTATTGGTTGCTTTAAAAATTATCCTATATACTCGTCTGGTTCCCTCACCTTTTGTAAACTAGCTAAAATCTATACTTTATTCAGAGCCCCTACCTTTTTATAAAGATTGTAATTTAATCTCTGGATGATTTTAGTTCTGAAACATTGACCAGTGAGGAATGATAGTTGATCTCTTTTTGTAAATCATTGACCTAGTGTAAAACTATGTATGAGGAAGTATTTTTAAATGAGGATAAAGTACAAATGTTTTTGGTCTTGAAGAGTGAAGACCAGACCATTGAGCCTCTTGTGCTCAGTGATAAGAGCACCATTCTTAGGTTGGTTGCAGTTAACTTGATACTATGGGTTAATCCCAAAAGTTTCAAAAGCAAGTTTGACATTTCTGTCTTTTAACTTGCCATATCTGTGTTTTATATGATTCATAATTTTCTTGCTCCTTGTGGTTCAACTGGTATATATAAAGTGTCTTTTTTTTTTTTTGAGACAGGATCTTGCTCCATCACCCAGGTTGGAGTGTAGTGGCATGAACATGGCTTGTTGTAGCCTCGACCTCCTGGGCTCAAGTGATCCTTTTGCCTCAACCTCCTATGTAGCTGGGACCACAGGTGTGTGCCACCATGCCTGCCTAAGGTTTTGAGAGCTGGGGGTCTCGCTTTGTTGCCCAGGATGGTCTGAAACGCTTGGCTCAATTGACCCTCCTGTCTTGGCTTCCCAAAGTTTTGGGATTACAGGTGTGATATACCAATTTTTTTTTTTTTGTGGCATAGGGTCTCCCTCTGTCTTCCAGGCTGGAGTGAAGTGGTATGGTCTTGGCTTACTGCAGCCTCCGTCTCCCAGGTTCAAGTGATTCTCCAACCTCAGTCTCCCAAGTAGCTGGGATTATAGGCGCCCATCACCAGGCCAGGCTAATTTTTGTATTTGTAGTAGAGATGGGGTTTTACCATGTTGGCCAAGATGGTCTTGATCTCTTCATCTCATGATCTGCCCACCTCGGCCTTCCAAAGTGCTGGGATTACAGGCGTGAGCCCCTGCTCCTGGCTGGTTTGTCTAATATTAATACACTGACAGAGATTCCTAAAAGGTAATTAGTACACCAAATTATGAAGGTATGTAGGCCTACACAAATAAAATGAAAATACCTAAACTGGTTCGAAGAGTTTTACTTCACTGTCTCTTCAGTTTAGATTTGGAATCCATTCTGAGTACCATACATAGTCTTCTGACTAAAGTTGGAAAAGAACATTCAAGTGTGGTGTAGATTACATGAAGTTTAATATGCATACATATTTTTGTATTTCTTAAATATTTCATTTTAGTTTTCTGTTTAACATATTAGCACAAATAACAAATTTGCTTGTCTTCTCTCCTGTAGTGGAGGTTGAGTGTAATGGGTGTTGAGATTTTATGAAGCTTGTCATCCTGGAGGGCAGTCATGATCTTCACTGGCAATTAACCATGCCATTCAATAATAAGTCATTTGCTAACTAAAAGTCACTTAAAATCTTATCATTATTAAGCATATAGCTAACAAATTTATTTGACTAGTAAATGATCTAGCTCATAGTATTTTTTATTAGTTAATGTTAATAAGAAAATTTGCACTAATACTGGGTACAGTAACTGATGCTGAAGTTCCTTAGACAAATATATCGTTGTACCATAGTGATTAAGAGTTATGGTCAGATGGACCTGGATTCTGTTGACTCTGCCATCTTATTGGTGTGACTTTGGGCAGGTCTTTTAACCTCTAAGTGGTTTAATTTTTTCCTCTGTTAGACAGAAATATTCCATTGTTCCAGCTCAGGCCAGAAACTCTGGGTCATCATTAATTCCTTTTTCTCATATTTCTCATCTAGTCAGTCAACAAATTAGTTTGTATACGTGTATGTCTATATTTGTGTGTATGAATACACACGCACATAATCAGATCACTTCTGACTATTATTAAGAACTTTGTCAGAGCCACATCTCTTGTCTAGGTTGCTATAATAGCATCTTTTTTTTTTTTAATTCCAAAATAGATTTATTTATTAAGGATTATTTAGTTTCTACATAAAGATCACCAATTGTTCCTCATTGGGTTTTTTTTTAAAACACACATCAATTCTTTTGGGGTTGCTTTGTTTGCCCCAGCACTTTAAAAAATACAGCTCTTTTTAGCGCCAGGAAGAACAGTTAAGGTTAAGGCAGTGAGGCGTTTTCTTGGGTCTTAGAAGCTGAAGGGTTCATCTCTCCCCGTCAAGAGAGTACATACAGTAGGTAGTTTCTTAGGTTGAAAATGTGTCCCTGAAGGAAATAACTCTGCAGAAGAATGCAAACCTAGCAACCTATGGTCAATTGTTTGTGCCCTATAGCTTAGAAAGAAACGCCTCTTGGTCATTAAGGGCTTGCTGGTTGGTTTCACCTGTAAAAACAAACAAACAAAACCTGTCTAGCAAAAGACAGTCAGAAAGAGCAGGGTTTATAACGGTGCTGTGAGGCTGGGCCGTGCAAACTATATGAGAATACACATCAGTTTGCTTTTTTTAAAAAAAACCCTCATAGGGACCCTGCATAATTTCAAATCAAACTCTTCATAGTACTTAAAATAACCAAAATAGCAATACAGCGAGAGCCTCATATAAGGTCACGTGCTTTTTTTTTTTTTTTTTTGAGACGGAGTTTCACTCCTGTTGCCCAGGCTGGAGTGCAGTGGCGAGATCTTGGCTATGACAATGTCCGCCTCCCAGATTCAAGCAATTCTCCTGCCTCAGCCTCCCAAGAAGCTGGGATTACAGGTGTGTGCCACCATACCTGGCTAATTTTGTATTTTTAGTAAAGACAGGTTTCACCATGTTGGTCAGGCTAGTCTCGAACTCTGACCTCAAGTGATCCACCCGCCTTTTTTTTTGTTTTTTTTTTTTTTTGAGGAGTTTCGCTCTTGTTGCCCAGGCTGGAGTGCAATGGTACAACTTCGGTTCACTGCAACCTCTACCTCCCGGGTTCAAGCAATTCTCCTGCCTCAGCCTCCCAAGTAGCAGGAACCACAGGCATGCACCACCACGCCCGGCTAATTTTTTGTATTTTTAGTAGAGACAGGGTTTTACCATGTTAGTCAGGCTGGTCTCAAACTCCATACCTCAGGTGATCCGCCCGCCTCTGCCTCCCAAAGTGCTGGGATTACAGGCTGGAGCCACCACACCCGGCCATCATGTGCTTATTTTTAAAGTGAGGTGGGTCACATCACTCCCCCAGAGTTGTGTTCCTCATTGGCGACAAAACTAAACCAAAAAACCCTAGGACTTGATTCATTAGAAGCGTTAATCGATTTTCACCACGCTGAACTGAAGGCACAAGTCAGTCTGTGCTGTCGTGAAATTTCAAGGAGATTTGGAAGTAAGATCGTTATTTACGGGTCCTTTAGAATAGACCAAAACAAAAAAAGACTTTTAAAAAATGAGGGCTGCTCCTGCAGACTCTGGCAGGACGCTGGGCTGCTCTGGGGGACACAGGCCAGGGGCAGCCGCCGACTTGATTCACAGTGATTCTGGTTTGCCTGTTTCTCCGTGTGGCCTCAAGGCGGGGGTGTGCCCAGCGGTGGGCATGACTACCCCTTGTAGTTAAGCTCCGCATTCATCTGGGTGTACATCTCATAGATGACATCGATGGTGGCCGTGTAGTTGACTAGGAAGAGGCGGATCTTCTCCAGGCCCTCCTACTCTGTCACATTCTGCCCCTTGGAGAGTGCTTTCAGGAAGTCGGACTTATAGGGGGCTGCATACAGCGCTGCCTGGAAGATCTTCTCTGCACGATCCAGCCGTGGTACTTCTTGAGGGCCATCTCATAGGCCTTGGTGGCGTTGACACGGATGAGGTTGGGGTGGTTCTCGTTCCGCTCCCCGTCGCAGATGCTCTGAAGGAAGACCTGGATGAAACGGAGGCCCCTTTTCAGCCACATCAGCGCCAGTGTGGCCCCAACTTTGGGCCACTCTGCTCCATACATTTCTTTCTCCACCTCCAGGATGTTCTGCAGGGTCCGGAACTTGGCTGGGTTGGTGTCATACACCGCTTTGATTTTCGTGATGTTGCCGCTTATGTCTGCCTTAATGGGAGTAAACACTGGGGACCCAAGGCAATCGAAGAAGGGCGGCAGGTGGGACACCGCCTCGAGGAAGGGCCCGGTCTCGATCTGCTTGTCCGCCGGTAGCGGCTTCAGCAGGTGTTCGGCCAGCAGCGCCATTTCGGGGTCGAGGCCCGCGGTGATGCCCCAGCCGGCGCTGCGGGCGTCCACGCCGCCCCCCGGTCCGCCGCCGTCAGCGCCGGGGCCGTCACAGCCTCCTGCCGCAGGCTCCGGGGACGCCAGCGTCACCACTTCCGCCTGCGCTGCGCCCCAGTAGCCGAGCGCTCAATAGCATCTTAACAGATATTCTCTATCTGCCATTCCTCCCTCTGCATCCCGTGACAAGCCACCCCCAATATATTAGAAGGATCCTTTTAAAATACATCAGACCAAGTCACTCTTCTGCTCAAAACTGTATAATATCTCCCCACTTCATTCTGAGTGAAAACACTCTTGCGAAGTATTTCATAGTCGAAATGTAAAGTAATTTATGTAACCATTTTCCTATTGATAGACATTTGTTTATTTTCTAAAGTTTTGCTGTTATAACTAGTGATTCAGTGAACATCTTTATGTATATATCTTTGTGCTGTACACATGGTTGAGCATTTCTGTAGGATACAGTTTTAGAAGTGCAATTACTGGTTTAATTAGTTAGAGTTTTCTGGAGAAATAGAACCAGTAGAATGTATATAAATAGACAAGAGAGGATTTACTATGGGAATTGGCTAATGTGATTATGGGAGCTGAACCAGGGGAAGTGATGGTATAACACTCAGTCTGAGGCCATAGGACTGGGAACTGGGGTGGATGTGGGAGGCCACTGGTATAAGTCCTGGAGTTTGAAGTCCTGATGATCAGAATCTCCAGTTTCCAAGGGCAGAAGGACATACATGTCCTAGCTCAAAAGAGAATGAATTGTCCCTCTGCCTTTTTTTTCTTTTAGGTCCTTAAAGGATTAGATGATGGCCACTCACATTGGTGAGGGCAGATCTTACTTATTCAGTCTAGTGATTCAGATGGTAATGTCTTCCTGAAACATCTTCATGGATACACCCAGAAATAATGTTTTAGCAGCTATATGGGCATTCCTTAACCCAGTCAAGTTGACATGTAAAATTAACCATTGCATATGCCAAGTTAAAATATTGATACTGCTGAATTGTATGCTGTGTTAATCAGGATTCTTTCAATAGTGAGGGAAAGCAACCTAGTTAGTACTAGCTTAAACAAAGAAAGGGGATATAGTACCTCAAGTAAATGTAAGTCTGAATGATAGATCTATCTCTTCAGATATTGCTAGATTCTACTATTAGAAAGATGTCATTAGGCAGGCAGGATTTCCCTTTGGAAGTTCTAGACTTACCTTATCTTTATTTTTTTAATTAAAAAAATTTTTTTAAAGAGATGGAGTCTCACTCTTGTCGGAGCTGGAGTGCAGTGGTGTGATCATGGCTCTCTGCAGCCTCCAACTCCTGGGTCAAGTGATCCTCCCACCTCAGCCTCCTGAATAACTGGGTCTACAGACACATGCCATCACATCAAGCTAATTTTTTTTATGTTTTGTAGAGATGGGGGTTCTTGCTATGTTGTCCGGGTTGGCCTTGAACTCCTGGCCTCAAGTGATACTCCTTCCTTGGCTTCCTAAAGTGCTGGGATTATAGGCGTGAGCCACTGCATTAGACCTTGCCCTGTTTTTAAAGAGCTCTTTATGTATTCTGGATGTTAATCTTTTGCTGTTACATGTGTTTCGAATATTTTCTCGTTGTCACTTTTCTTATGGTGTCTACTTTCTTTGTAATGCCTTTCAACCTTTGTAATGCCTCTTCACTGACTTCTTCCCTGCATCTTGTGAGCAGTATGAAGTCTCTCCTGAGAGTTATCTGAGAAGTCTGCACATAATAAAATTCTTTGTATTGTGGAAATTATTTTATATCTAATCTTTTTTTAGAATTCCTAAATAAAACATAGTAAGAGGATATCAATTGTGTAAATGGCGTGGCAATACAATCTTGACATTTATTACACTTGTGATTGGCATGTAGTAAATTTGTCATCAGATTCTGGCTCAGCTGTTGAGAAAGGTTCTGTTCTTAATACTTAACCTGTCTCCTCTGCTGAAAACCTTGAGGTTTTACTTTCCCTGTTAGAGTTTTCAGAAAACAAAAATAACAGTCTACCACCCATCACTACCACTTTTATATGAAGTAATAAGCAACTTTATTATTTATAAGTAAAAAGACAGTGTGTCAGCATACAGGAAAGGGAACATCACACACACCAGGGCCTGTGGGTCAGGGGTTGGGGCCTAGGGGAGGAGGGACTAGCATTAGGACAAATACCTAATGTAGATGACAGGGTGATGGATATAGCCAACCATCATGGCATGTGTATACCTATGTAGCAAACCTGCATGTTCTGCACATGTACCCTAGAACTTAGAGTACAAAAAAAAAAAAAAGAGAGAGACTGTGTTGGCAAACATAGGGTGTGGTTTCAGTGGCAGAGTGTTTGGGCCAGCTCTTGTCATTGCTACACAGATGTCAGTGGCTGGCATTGGTTCAGCTGAGGTAGCTCTAATTCTCCAAGTACTGCCAGGGAAGAACTCACAAGTTGTGAAAGACCTGAAGTACTCATTGTATTTGTCCATTAAGAAAGTCTTTAATACCCATACCACTTAAAGTTTCAGTAAGTAGATGAGAAGGAGAAACCACTTTGCCTTTCTTTGAGGGTAAAGAGAGATTAAAGCATTAAAAACAGTGAATACAATGAGCCTTTTTTTTTTTCCCCAGAAGCTCACCTGTAGAGAAGGGAAGAGAGTGAGAAGGTGGTGGTTGATGGTCCAGTACAAGGTAGATAAGATCCCTTTGCTAAAACTCCTATATCAGCTTAAGGAAAGCAGTTTATCTTTGGAACTTTGAAAACTAATTTATAGTGGGTGCTGAAAACTTTTTAAAAATGATGCTTTGGAGACTTTACCAAATTTTTAACAATTTTGACAGTACTTAAATTGCATATCTACCTGCATTTGTATTTTATAAAAATTCAAACTATTTAGGTAATTCTTTTGAACCCTGTTCAGAGTTGGTCCAGCTAAATTATCGTTGTTTCACTGTTGAGGAACCTGAGCCTCAGAGAATTTTAAGTAATTGGCCCAAAGTGTAACCCTTATTATTTCTGGCAGAGTCGAAATTGCAGCCTAAATCTAACTTCAGATGTTACCTCCTGGTCCAATGATTTTAAAGTTAGCTTAATATCTTTTTTTTGTCATGCAGTCTCCAACTCCTGGGTAAAATATTTCAAGATCTCAAGTTAGTAGTAAATTGACTTCAGTATTTCTCACCTGTGTGAGAAGTGCCTTTTATTTTCATTACTTCATAGAAGATTTTGTTTCCTTTTCCTAAGACGAGTGTGTATGCAAGTCACTAAGGATGGCTTGCACTCAAGAAGTGGGAATTAAGCTGTCCTTCCTTGATGGAGGAGTCTTTGCATAAATTATTTGGAATTCTTCTTTATGGAAGATTTATCTCTTCTCTCCCATTAATTTATATATTCAGTGATTTATATCTACATGGACTCATTGGTACTTACTTTATGCCTGTACTTTAGGTTACAATCCAATCCAGTGTGATTTATTTTGTTGCTCTAATTGTTTTGGTCATAGGATGCCCTTTCAGAGAGGCTCCTGTGTCTCTTTTGTATGCCCCATTTTTTGTTTTTTGAGCACTTTTTATTTTTTGGACCTACAGTGTACTCCACACTCTTTGTATATTTCCTACCTCACCCTTTTCATAAGAGCTCTGGTTTCTTTTATGGGAGAATGATATTGAAAACCAAGATCAGAGGCTGGGTGCAGTGGCTCACACCTGTAATCCCAGCACTTTGGGAAGCTGAAGTGGATGGATTACCTGAGGCCGGGAGTTTGAGACCAGCCTGGCCAACATGGTGAAAACCCATTTCTACTGAAAATACAAAAAATTCCCTGGCATAATGGCGCCTGTAATTCCAGTTACTTGGGAGGCTGAGGCAGGAGAATCTATTGAACCCGGGAGGTGGAGGTGGAGGTTGCAGTGAGCCAAGATCCCACCACTGCACTCCAGCTTGGGCATTCCAGCTTGAGTTGGAGTGAAACTCCAACTCAAAAAATAAAAATAAAAAGAAAACCAAGATCTGAGGAATGGGTGTGCTTGTGCTTGTTGCTACTGGACTGTCACTGATTTTAAGCCCTTTCAGCAGAAAGATCTAGAAAATATATTTATCTATTATAATCCAAATATATATACATCTATAATTATTTCTGTGTATAGCCATCTGTCTCTATATTAAGCTAAACGTGAATTCATACTGATGTCTGGACTCTAATCTAGAACCACATGGTTCATTGTAGCTTTCCCTGTTTCCTTATCTGTAACCTTCCTCTCCAACAGTAAGAAACCTGGCTCCCAGCTCTGCCATCTGTTGATTTATTTGTTTGCTCTTAGTATTCATGCGGAGTAGTTTCAGAATTGTTAATCTCTACTCCTAGAAACAGCTTTACCAACTAGACTGCAGTGTTTATGTGCAGTTCGTTTTGCCTTTGTCTTACAGTTTTCAGTTATAGCATCATTTATCAAAGTTATGTAGGCCAGCATCTTTTTTCTCTACCTCTCAGTGTGGTTATGACATATATTTGTAATCTAATTAGATTCTTTTCTGACAGTCTGCATTCTGTCCTAGGATCCCCCTTCCTTTTATCACCTGGTTGATTTTTTTTTAATTGCATACATTAAGGTTCACTCTTTCTGCTGTAAGGCATAATATTGAAATGGCCAGGATTAAACTTTATCTCTTTTTTTTCTTCGTAAGTGGAAGAGAACATCTAAGTTTCTTGGCTTCCATAATATAACACTGGGCTAGGTACTGTTTAGTGATCATCTTTCTTAGTCTCTCATTGCTTCTGTTGGTTCCTTTCCCTGTTGGGTACCTTCCTTTCTGCATTTGTACCAGGATCATATTACATTACTTTTTCTAACTTTAAGACATGGTTTAATATATAGTAAATCTACGCACGCTTCAATGCTTGTCTTGATCATTTTTCTAAATTCTTTGTTACTCTTACCTGCCCTATTGATAGATATAGGAGACAGCCAGATGCCACCCAGGTCATTGTGCACAGGGGTTTGCCTAAACATGCCCACAGTGAAGAGTTCCGTCCCTTAACACATGCACAGAAAGGGAAATAAATCAATGTGGAGTGGCTCAGAATAAGGTCTCACCTGCACACTGGAAGAATGGCATGAAGCCACTGGGAATTCACGTTTTAAGCAGTAGGGAGGAGCCTGGCCTCTTCAGCTCATGTGTGGTGGCCTGATATTCTGTCTGTGAGATTGAAACCTGTTGGCAGGACCCCCTTTTTTTTGCTGAGAGCTTTCTTTTAGTAAACTCCTCTCTCCTCACCTTTCAGTGTGTCCACATGCCTAATTTTTCCTGGTGGTGACATAAAAACCTGGATTTTAGCTGAACTAAGGAGCAAAAACTCCTGCATCACTACCCTAGATTTACCAGCTTGGGTTACTTTATCAAGTATAAAACCAGCAAACAGCTCTATTAGCATTTTTATAGGAATTGTATTAAATTTGTTAATTATTTTGGGAAGAATCAACATCTTTATAGTATTGAAATTTCCCATTTAGAAGCCAATCTACCTATGTCAATTATCTATATATATCTTTGTATTCCTAGTTTTCCATGTCATTTATAGTCATAAAACTGTCAGGTTAATATATGAAATAAGGGTCATGTCTGACTAGTCTCTGACTAATCTTAATAAACTACTTTGAATAATAACTTCTGACTAATGTATGAAATGCTATTTCAGTAATGTGCCCTTTTAAAATATGACTACCCTATCCTGCCATTTAGTTGTTCATCTGCAAAGTTTGAGACTATTTTCTTTGAATATATGTACTTACAAGCTGTTATTTGGATATTATGGCTTGATCTACTTATTCATCAGTGAGTTGCAATTAGAAGAATTACTTAAAATAGATGACTAGTTTGGAGCATTCGTTTCAATTCTGACACTTCAAGAAAATGTTTTAAAAGTTTTTTTTGGTTTTCTATTTAGTTTTTTCTAACTCTCAGAAATGTCTTCATCATTCACCTTAGAGCCCATCCTTCTATAATGGGCATAGCATTTATTGTATAAATGTTATTTGTATAATTTAAGTGTTACCAGAACTTTGAGGTTTTCATAACAATACATTACAGGAATTTTAACTTAATTCCTTATTATATGTCACTGTTTGTTTGTGTTGAAGTGTGTTTTATTCTTTTAGAACTGCAGTTTTCATTAACTATTAAACCATAGCCTTAAGTTAGAAAAGGAGTATTTAAAACTGCCTCATGGCATTAGTTGAGTACAAAGAAGTAATGCTGTAGATCAGACTGTTTGCCTTACAGAAATTAAAAAAAAAATTGATTAATATTTCAGTAAATCCTGTTTAAGCAAATCTTTAGTGCTGCATCCTCCTGAGATAGTGCTTTTGTGTTGCCTTTCAATTTCTGCCACCCTTCTTCCCTTGCTCACCAAAAATTAGAGGAGAGAAAATGAGAGTAAGTGGGCAGGATTTATGTATTAAAAATACCAAAGAGCTGTTCACATCGGGATCCCTGTAGAACTTTTTCTTGATTTTCTAGAGTATTAAACAGTGAAACCTGTCATTTATAAATTACTTACATTTTAATAGCCCATTAAATTCCTCTTGGAATCTTTACTTTTTAAAACCAGGAAATAGAAGTGGTATCTTCTAGTTGATGGGCTTTTATTATTCTTCCATAGATTCATCTGAAAACTACATTAAGATGAAGACTTTTGAAGGTTTCTGTGCCTTACATCTCGCTGCAAGTCAAGGACATTGGAAAATCGTACAGATTCTTTTAGAAGCGGGGGCAGATCCTAATGCAACTACTTTAGAAGAAACCACACCATTGTTTTTAGGTAAGTATGCTGCTTGTGGTACAGATGTAATTTTTCATTTTCTTTTTTTTTGTTAAACTAAGCTTAATTTTTTCTACAGCTTTTGTACTTATAATATGTTCTTTTGGCAACTGTTATACCACTACTTCTTTGATTTTGAAACTGAAAAGTTATTTTTAAAGGTTTTGCTCTTGTTTTCTATTCTTGGGTGGCAGCTTCTGGGACTTTGTTTATTTAAAGTTGCAAAATCTGTTTTGAATTGTAGGCACCATCATTGTTCTCAGTGTAGTTCTGAAGACCAGATTATCACTTAAATTGTAGCAATAGTTGCAAGGTTACCTGTGAGTGCTTTATGTTTGCTTTTGCCTTTTCTTAGCATTAAAAAATTAAGAAGCATTTATGGAAGAAATCACCAGCTAATCCTTTAATGCCGATTAATGTGTTGCCTGTATGGATCACTGTTCAGACCTCTTCTATTAAAGACTTTTTAATTCCTTAAGGATGACAGCCAAATCCTAAATGGCTTTCTTCCAATAACTGTCTTTTTTCTTCTCCTCCTCCTTTCTTCTATTTGATCCTATTTGTCTTCAGGGACATTGTGTCCCATAAAGTTTAGTGGAACATGAGAAAATTGAGTCAATGAAGCATTTGGAATATAATCAGTGCAGCTGGACTTTAGTTTTGATCCTGCCACATGTAATTTGTTATTTATTTATTTACTGTATGCTTCAGTGACCTCACTTACAAAATCAGAGTAATAGTACCTCTCTAGTCTTTGTTATTGGGCTGAGAATAAAATTAGTTGTCTGTGAAAGTACTTTTTTCTTGTGGACTTAATATTATTAAAATTAAAAAAAAATGCTTAGTAACAGAATATCAAATTGGGTAAAACAATTAAAATTTATATATAGTAAAATTCACTCTTTTTAGTATAAGAGTTCTATGAGTTTTGATATATTCATAAAATTCTGTAATGACAACAATCAAGATACAGAACCATTCCCTCACTTCTCAAAATTCCATCATGCTGCCAATTTTTCATCAGTATTTTCCTCCCTCCTCCAACCTTGACCCCTGACAGCAGCTGATCTGCTCCTATCCCTGTAGTTTACATTTCACAGAAATGACATATATATATATATATACACACACACATATATATGATTAATATATACCATATAGCCTTTGAGACTGGTTTTTTTAAGGTCGCATGATACTTTTGAGATTCATCCATATTGTTGCATATATCAATAATCCATTCCTTTTTGTTGCTGAATCGTATTCTATTAAATAGATGTAATACAGATCATTCATTCATCAGTTGCATATTTAAGTTGTTTTCAGTGTTTAGTGGTTATGAATAAATACATTATAAATATTTTTGCAGATAGGTTTTATATCAATGTAAGTATTTCTTTTGGGTTAATACTTAGGATTGGTATGACATATGGTAAATATATGTTTAACTTTGGAAAACAAGTTGGAAGTTTTTTTCTACCAATTTGCCTTTCCTTCAGTAATGTTTGAAACTTTGAGTTGCTGCATATCCTTGCCAACATTTGCTATTGCCAGCTCTTTCTTTTTCTCCGTTATATTTTAGTAATTCTGATAGGGTTTAGTAGTATCTCACTGTGGTTTTTGTTTAGATTTTCCTAAGTGCTGATGATGTTGAGCGTCTATTCATATCATTATTTTACATCTTTCCTTCCCCTACCTTTTTTTGTATTTAGACATTTTATTTTGAAGTAATTTCAGACTTACAGAAATGATCAATAACAGTACAAAGGTTTCCTCATATACTTTTTGCCCAAATTTTCTTCTTTTGCCATGTTTGTCATTTAATTTCCTTCTTTGTATTTTTTCATCCCTTTGTGATTAAGTGGTAGACATCATGCCCCTTTAGTTCTACTTTAGTGTAAACTCCTAAAAGCAACAAAATTCTAACTACCATATGATGATCATAATCAGAAAGTTAATAGTATTAATTAGTCTACAGCCCTCATTCAATTTTTTCATCAATGTCTTTTATGGCAAAAGAAAAAAAAGATTTTGGTCCATGATGAACCCAAGATCACTTGTTATATTTAGTTGTCATGTCTCTTTAGCCTCCTTTAATTTGGAACGGTTTTTCAGTTTTTTGTGATTTTAACTTTTTTAAGAGTTCTGGTCATTGATTATGTAGAATATCCTTCAATTTGAGTTTGTCTGATGTTTCTTCTTGATAAGGTCAGGGTTTGTGTTTCTGGCAGGAATACCACAGAAGTGTCATGGTATCTTAATGAATCTTATCAGGAAGAATATAATATATTACTAGTAATTTATGAAAGTACTTTGAATATGTGAAAAGTATTTAACAGTGTTTCATGGAAGCTTTGTTTTAATGTGGTTTGGGTTTCCAGGAGGAGTGATTGCTTTTTTATATTAAGTTTCTTTTTTTCCCCTGCATCTACGTTTAACCTGCTTTGGATAATCTGTACAACCAGCTACAGAGGAAGCATTTATTGAGATTTAGCTACATGCAATCTCTTTTTTTTTTGAGATGGAGTTTTGCTCTTGTTGCTCAGGCTGGAGTGCAATGGCATGATCTCAGCTCACCACAACGTCTGCCTCCCAGGTTAAAGCGATTCTCCTGCCTCACTATGATTACAGGCGTGTGCCACCATGCCCAGCTAATTTGGTATTTTGAGTACAGATGAGGTTTCTCCATGTTGGTCAGGCTGGTCTCGAACTCCCAACCTCAGGTGATCCACCCACCTTGGCCTCCAAAAGTCCTGGGATCATAGGCATGAACCACCACGCCTGGCTGCTACATGCAATCTCTTATTCTAGTTGCTGTCCTCAAGGAATCTTCTATGTACAGGAGCAAAAAAAGTGATTTTACAAATTTGAGATTTTTAAAGTGAGGCTTGAATGACAGAAGACTTCATGTGCAGAATGCTGTATTAACAGTAACTATAACATTTATTGAGCAGAGTGTATACTAAGCCTCGTGTGGGTGTTTTACATGAAGTAGATAATTGGATCTTCACTATGATTCTATGAAATATGTACTATTATTGTTCCTACTGTCATAGGTGAGGAAACTTTACAAAGACTGGATTTAGGAAGAGAATAGCTATCTTTGAATGTTGATCTTGCTGTTGTCTGTGTTTTGGGTAGAAAACTGATTAAGTGAACTATTAAATTTCATTGACAAAAGGTTTTCTAATGACATAATTTTGCAAAACACTGTGTGCTATATCCCCCAGTGTAGGAAAACATGAAGATATTATACATGTGACTTACTGTGCCCACCCAGTCTGAAGTATCCACTGACCTCTTTATGCATCTTCTTTTAGTGTCTTCATCACTGACTCCAGTTAATTACTGCTCCCTTGTTTATTTACTGCCCCGCTTTACTAGAAAGAATGTTCTCTGAAGGCGGGGATTTTATTAATCTTACTCAGTGTTGTAACTCCCAGACTCAGTTTAGTGCCGGGTATATGGTAGGCGTTCAGTAAATTATTTGTTAAGTAAAAGAATGAAGGTTTCTGAAAAACCTCTCATTAAACAACATTTGTTTACCCCAGCACTTTGAAATATATTTCACCATAGTATTCTTTCACTCTTGTTGCCCAGGCTGGAGTGCAGTGGTACAATCTCAGCTCACCATCACCTCTGCCTCCTGGGTTCAAATGATTCTCCTGCATCAGCCTCCTGAGTAGCTGGGATTACAGGCAAGTGCCACCACGCCTGGGTAATTTTTGTATTTTTAATAGAGATGGGGTTTTTCCATGTTGGCCAGGCTGGTCTTGAACTCCTGACCTCAGGTGTTCTGCCTGCCTCAGCCTCCCAAAGTGTGAGCCACTGGGCCCGACTGTATTCTTTTTCTTTATGGAACATTTAGGAATACTTCAAAGGAACATTGGTATTCCAAGGGACTATATGAGAAATGCTATTATTCAAATTATCATTATTAGAATCCCATTTATGAAATTCAGTATTGTGCCTACTTTTATTAGTATTTGGAGAAAATTAGAGATGTACAGTTTTTAGGGGTTTATATTTAAAGATATAGTTAACTTATACTTTTTTATGTTAATGAAGCAAGAGATGGGAGATAATTCAAACCAGTGAATAACATTAAATGACTTATTTTTAGTAGTAGGATTTATTCGTTTCTTTGGCAGTGAATTTACCATTCTAATTATCTTTTGTATTGACTGATAAATAAATCTTTTGTATTTACTAATACAAAATACTGTGCCCCGCTGATAATAGTATTTTTAAAAAGGAAAGTATAGCCTTAGTGTTTGTAAAAACATAGTGTGGAAGGGCCAGGCATGATGGCTCACACCTGTAATCCCAGCACTTTGGGAGGCCAAGGTGGGTGGGTCACCTAAGGTCAGGAGTTCAAGACCAGCCTGGCTAACATGGTGAAACCTCGTTTCTACTAAAAATACAAAAAATTAGCCCAGCATGGTGGTGCATGCCTGTAATCCCCGCCACTTAGGGGACTGAGGCAGGAGAATTGCCTGAACCCAGGAGGCAGAGGTTGCAGTGAGCCAAGATTGTGCTATTGCACTCCAGCTTGGGCATCAAGAGTGAAACTCCATCTCAAAAAAAAAACGTGTGGAAGAATGAACATATCTACATCTGTGTTGTGTGTTGAAAGAAAAGAATGCACATATGACTCTCTGCTTCATGAATAATAGGACAAACTTTCACATTCTGCCTTGCTCACCTTTACCTTTGTTTATTTTTTGACATGGGGTGTTGCTCTTTTGCCCAGGCTGGAGTGCAGTGGCAAAAATCATAGCTCACTAAAGCCTCAAACTATTGGGCTCAAGCTATCTTCCTGCCTCAGCCTCACCACAAGCACACACCACCATAACCAGTTAATTTTTTTAATGTTTAATTTTTGTACAGTTACCTGTATTGCCTAGGCTGATCTTCAAGTGATCCTCTTCCCTTAGACTCCCAAAGTGCTAGGATTACAGGCATAAGCCACTGCACTTGGACAATCTTTCTGTCTTTTAAAT